TATCTAGATAACTCTTATGCAAACTTAGTTTGACACGGCAATGCGAGTGCGGTAGGATGGTAATGCTTTCCACTCATCGTTGTTGTTTACTTTCCTCTGTGCTTGAAAAATTATGAAATAATATGCATATTTGAAATTAGATTTACGATGCGAGAGTTACTAATCCTTTGCAGCTTTGGAAACAAATCTCATGCTTTGGGAGGAAATGAAAAAAGGTACAGAAAGAGGATTACAATGTTGCGTACGTATGAAAATTGACATGCAGTCGAATAACGGAGCAATGAGAGATCCAACCATTTACCGGTTTGTTCTTATTTTTTTCTCTTTTTTTTGATGGGTTCATACAGCGGATGCTAGTTTTTCAGTTGCAAGCCTGAAGAACACGTACGCACGGGAACGAAGTACAAGTGAGTTCTTCTTCGTTCATTAATTGTGAGGAGTGCATAATTGTTGAGCATTGTCACTAGTGATGGTAATTTCACGACATAGTTTATCTCAGGCGATATTTTTCCCATTAGTGGGTATGTTGCATACGTTTTTTACATGCGGTCGCGGCTCTGGTCATCTTAACTATTGCATTGAAGGACTTTGACCGGCGAGAGCGCCGAAAATAGTATCTGGGAAGAAATCCCAGATTCTGCTTTTTCTCGCATATCACAATGATTTTAGGACTTCAGAAATACTAGCCTACAGCTCTAATCTAACAGCTTTGGCAAATAATGAGATAAGTCAAGAGTTTTTTCTATGAAAATTTTCACATAAAATATGGTACGTGATGCAAGAGACTGATGTTTCTCGAGGGAGATAGAGTTGAGGAATTATAGATTTAGGGGGTGAGGCGGAATTCTTTATATAACTATCTCTCAAAAACGGTTGACATGACTAAGAAATAGTGTTTATACTTACTGCAATCTTTTATTACTGATTTTTTTTCTAAGGCTGACCCGCTTTTCTGTTCGTTCAGAGTTTCCAAATTTGATCACAGACTAGATAGAAGACAGTGGTGGACTTCAGGGGAACGGATTAGGTGTTCCTTTCCGCTTTTAAAAGGATCTAAAATTTTGACATTGGTGCCAGAAGACGATGATGACTTCTTTTTATTGGTTAAAATGAAGGATGTTTTTTTAATATTTGTAAAGGCTGCAAAAATCCATATTTGGACATATTTTCTCTCGGGACATCTGCCCCCTTCCTTGCGTGCATAGCAGAGATCCCCACTGGGGAGAGCTTCTCATCTTCCTAGCTAAGTGTTTAGTTTGGCATTGTAATTGTGATTACTTAGGAATGCACTCTATCGTTGCTAAATCAAAGAAAAGCGTGTAACTATTTTGAATAAGGTCTTCAAACAGAATGTGTACCTTTATCTCTAAAAAATTGTAAATTAGGAAGAGTGCCCCTCATTGCTGAGGCCTCTTCTGCCTACCATGGTCAAAAACTGGGATGAAAGTCAGAGCAGGAAGACTCTTACTTGTCGAGAAATAAGGATTATAGTGAAACTGATAATATTTTAGAAGACCTTTACAAGTAAACTTGAATTTGCACAATAAACATGATGAGCCTTTTGCGAGTGTTTTTTTTTTTTTGAACAAAGGGGATCGACACAGTCTGAAAGGATCCTCTACTCCTTAGCGATCCTCTTCGAGGATCTACCGTTAGTATCATATGGTTACTGCTTCCTTCTCAGCAGAATGTTCATGCGTACGGCCTAGTACGTAAACAGATCTTTTGCAGAGTTTATCCCACTTACGATTTCGCTTGTCCGATCGTCGATAGCGTAGAAGGAGTCACACACGCTCTCCGAACAACCGAGTATCATGACAGGTAACACTCAAATACCTTTTTAAAATCTTCAAAGGCGGAATTTTCTAGAGACGATCAATACTACTTCATCTGTGATGCTCTTGGACTTCGCAAGCCCTATATCTGGTCGTATGCTCGCTTGAATATGACGAATACTGTAATGAGCAAGAGAAAGCTAACGTGGTTTGTGAACGAAGGCCTTGTTGAAGGATGGTGAGTTCCCTTCTCTTTTGATATCCACCCCTTATAAGCATTCCCTTAGGGATGACCCGCGTTTCCCCACAGTGCGCGGAGTGATGCGTCGAGGTATGACAGTGGAAGGGTTGCGCCAATTCATAATTGCCCAAGGTGGTTCACGTTCGGTAGTGATGATGGAGTGGGATAAAATATGGTCTTTCAATAAGAAAGTGATTGACCCTGTTGCTCCGAGGTAATGCCTTATTCCTTTCACTGCTATTTTTCAACAAATCCTTCTCTTGAGACAGTTTTCTGTTAGGTATACTGCTCTGGACTGTGCCTCACTTGTTCCAGTTTTTATTTCGACGCCAGTGAAAGTGGAAGAAGTACAAGTTCCGCTTCATCCTAAGGTAGAACCGTAGGCATTGCGATTGTTTCTAATATTGATATCGTGATCTAAAAAGTGGTGTTTAGAATCAAGATATCGGCTCGAAAAACATCTGGCGAAGTGCGAAGCTCCTAGTAGAGCAAGTAGATGCTCGTGAGATGAAAACTGGTGATACAGTCACTTTTGTCAACTGGGGCAACATTAAAATCTCTTCCGTTGAAAAGGATCAGGAAAGAGTGACACAGATATACGCAGTCCTAGATTTAGCGAATCAAGTGCGTCATCCTCATCTAGTTCTTTCTTCTATTTATTAGCCATTTTTTTTTCTCAGGACTTCAAGAAAACCTTGAAAGTAACTTGGATTGCTGAAACTGAAGCTCCCACTGCAGCGCTGGTTCCAGTGGTCACAGTTGATTATGACCATATCATCAGTAAGGCTATCATCGCTAAAGAAGATGACTGGAAGAATTACATCAATTATGATTCTGTGGTTCGTTGTTCTTTTCCCATCACATACATGTATGTTCGGCTGCACGGATCAAGGCACTGCTAAGCCGATGCAAACCTTGTGGCGGCGCGGCTGATTTTGCCGCGCACAATTCTTAAGCAAGGATCTGCTGTGTATCGGCTCTGGGCCGACATCACTCAGATGCGTCGTCGTTGTACAGCGACCTGTTAGCACCTTGACGTGCAATCTACCATCAACTCGTGTTGTATCATTTTAGCATTACACTAAAATGGTTGGTGAGCCGGCTCTTCTGAACGTGAAGAAGGGCGACATCATCCAGTTACAACGTAAGGGGTTCTATATCTGTGATCATGCTTATCAAAAGAAAAGTGATTTCAGGTTGGTAATGCTAACTTTGATACTTTATTGCTTTATTGCTTTTATACTTTATAGCGCATCCGAGACTCCTATACTGCTAATTTACATCCCTGACGGACATGTCAAGGATACAGCCAACAAGGCCAAGCAGGTGATTGGAATTTTTGGGATTACATAAATGGCCAGATGGACTTTGGGTGCATGTGGCATAGTGTTTTGAATTTTCCGTCAACATTTTTGACATTTTTTCAAACTTTAACTCAGAGATTAGGATACGGTAACGCACTGCCTTCACTCTAGCGCACCTTGGTTTAAAAATCGCAGATTCGGAAAAAAGAAATTCCAGAAAAAAATCACAGATTGGCCCTTGCTAAGGAGCCTGACTCTTTGGTCACAAATGTCTTATATCCAATTCAGTTTCTCGATAAAGTAACATCGATCCATGTAATGTCACTATTACTTTATTCCAGCTTAGTTTTTAACTGATGATGCATTATGGTCATGCATCAGTACCAATCATTAAATCATCAGTTTATCAGAAAAGAAGTCTGAATGCTCATTCAGCTCTCGCCATTACACAATGCCACATGGTAGTGCAAAATGTGCGTTATCGAATTTATATGCAATCAGCCGTTTCAATGCATAATTCTCGTATTTCTATAATAGGTCGAATGAATGTCTTTTCAAGCGAAGTTTGGGAATATTTTTTCGGAGCGTTTTGAAATAATGCAAAATT